TTAGATATACAAGGGTAATATATAAACGGAGTCTATGAACTAAAGCAAACGGAGTCGTTTATTTCAAACACACCTTAGGTGCGTGAATTATGGCACCTTTCATCATTACAGTTTCCTGTACAGTCACTTTAAGGGATGCCGTTGCCCTCCGCCTTTGCTTTTGGACTGCCCCAGAATGACTGACCAGGCTCTTAAGGTCTTAGCTATCTTCGAGCATCTCCACGTGGTCAATGTCGCAGTTTGCGTTCGGTAAGAAACTGCAACTGCATGGAATTTTCTGTAAGAAGGGACTTATGGAAAGATTATTGAGGGTTTGGGCAGGGCCGATACTTTTCCCGGGGGTTGAGTAACGCTAGCCGCCGCGGCGTGATGTCCGGAAAGGGTCTAGTACTAAGTACCAGACCCCCGTCTCAAATCTTTCGTCGAGCGGAGAAACGCGCGTCCTGTAGCGCTAATGATGAGGCCTTCTCGCAGGTGATAATGCCAGTTGATGCATAAATTAGGTCTGAGGCGTTTCATATTTTCTCACTTGAATCGCAGTTCATTGACCAAGAACGGAATCGAGTTGTCGTGGATGCATATGCCGGCCTACTTTACCCAGTGGTCTTTTCGGTCTGCCTACTTGCCATTTTTAGACTGGGCCGAGGAATCTCGTTTCCATGGTGCGTAAATAGCAAAATGGCGGCTTCCCTTCAAGTCACAAAGTCAGTTCACTTTTTATTGCTTAAATCATGACTTCTCTCAAGAATTGTGACCCGCAGTTAAGACGATATTTGCTTGTGCATCGGCTTCCTGATATATTTGAGGTAAGAATTCACTTTAACAGGCAAACTGCAGCCTTGATTCCTGAATCAAAGTATTTTATCCAGCGATTTTCTAAGTTTGTGGGAGGAATCCTGCTCAGTGATTTTCCCCCCGACAGAAAGTGATAGTATTTGAAGTTGGAATTTATATAAGCTCTGTTTGAAAGATTTGTTTCCGTAACCTAATGCGTCGTTGTCCAAGGCTATGGCCAGCTGTCTTTTTCTTGTTATTAACTATTGCCGATAAGAAGTGGTATAGGATTGATAGAAGTACATTTCGTGTAGGTGAACGCTTGGGGCTGAGTTTAATTAACAATGGTTTATGAACTGAGCGGAGTGCAATTTGTATAGGTAATCGCATGATTGCAAGTGATAAATCAGCACAAATATTGCTCGTGCTGATTTATCCCAAAATAAGACAATTTTTTAAAGGCTAACCAAATTGTAGTCTTTTAAAAATTTACGTGTGCTGATTTATCCCCAAGTCTGGTGGCTTACCTTTGCCTTGTTGTTGAAGTAGTCAGGCTTTTTCCTCAAGAATTTGTTTCAAACTTTTAAAGCCTCTCTCAAGATTAATTGAGAGTTTGTACTCTTTCTCAGTTAGGTATCACGCCAAGAATCGTGCCTGTCTTTCATACAAACAGTTGCGTAAAACTCCTTGAGAATTTTATTCAGGGCCTCCGGCTCACACTTTCATATCTGTTTTTTGAGGCCAGACTTTAGGCCAGCTTATCCTTTGCTGAATGTTTTTGCTTTTAGCATACTACCCCAAACTCTGAATTAAAAAAAATTGTTACTTTCTCTACACCTGTCCACTATAACTTGTAAACTTACCTGTCAATCCATGTACTTTCAACTTTCTGCACAAAATTTCAACCCTCTGCACTGTTTGGGATTAACTGAAATCACAAAATTCAGTCACTAATTACAAGTTTTGTGGGAAGCCATATCAGTGTTCAATAATCATCAACGAATCATAAAACGCAATAATTAGCTGAGTAAAAATTTGTTTTTGCGCTATAATGCCAAGGCAATGAAACCAGCCATACTAAAAACCAATTACCACAATTTGTTAGTGAAATAATAATACTTTAAGTGTAATTGAAGCCTTTTTTTGTTTTTAATTTCAAGTAACTTTGCTTGGGGAAATTACCAAAATTAAAGAAAATGCGCTCCTTCTCAGCCTATCAGAATGTAGTAATTTTGCCCTTTATGTTATAAAAGTGTTATCATGCAAGTGGTTAACAAAATTGGAAGACTATGAAGTGGGAGACTGTGTTGTTAATTACAAATATGATAGCAGACAGAATTGAATAACATGAAGTCTTGTCACCAATCAGTCAAAACTATGACAAAATTTTAGATACAAACTAGTGATTCATCATAGGTTTTCATAAAAAGATTTCAGTCACCTTGGCAAAATAGGTGACAACAGTGACTGCACATGATGCAATTACTGTCCAATTACACAGGACTGGTATGCTATGCTCATATTGTCCAATAACGTTGTCCAATTGGTGTTGGTTGGAACCAATCATGTTTGAAAATATTGATAAAGTATTGACTACAGTATGGAATTTTATGGATTTCAAGTTTGCCCCTGTATGTGTGGTTAATAAGGTTGATTCCTGACTCATAATTTGACTTTCATCTTTTGTCATACTTGGAAGTGCACAAACCATATAATCTTTATGTAAGCTTTAAGATTGTAAGTAAAAAAATACTTTTGACTTGCAGGCTATTGTCAGTGCTTTAGCTGTCAACTGCCCAAGGGATCCACAGGCATTTATTCTTGAGAAATTAAAACTCATCATAAATTATGAAGAGGTCCTGGATGATTTGCGATGGTATGTATTTTATTGCATTTTTGGATACAGAGTTCTATCTGATTAATGCTAAAGTAACTGAGATAAGTGCAAGTTGTTCTGAAATCATACGTCATTGTGTTATTTCAGAATTGAATGAGTGTCTCTATAGGGCAGATACAATTGTGGAAAACAAATATAAATTCCTTACCAACATTTGCACAGCATGAGGTTTACTGGTCACTTATTTAGATCAGCTTCAACCCTTTAACTCCCAAGATCTGACAGTTAATTCTTCCCTCGCCCTGTTACACATTTTCTTTTACATTGGTTACAAGAATTTGGTGTTTGATCTAGATAAAAACTTCTACCTGATAAGTTTGAGTATTCTCTTTACCATTTTGCAGGATAATGTAGGGATATAATAAGGAGAAGTTACATATTAATCACTTCCGGTAGTTAAAGGGTTGATAGAGCAAAATTTAGTTGCCCACATACAGACTTTTGGTCAATGAAAAGTATTACAATTGACCCAGTGGCTATTTGAAAAGAAAAAAAAAAGAGGGACATGAAGAGAGGAAAATAACTTTTTAAAAAATTACATTGATGGAATTTCAAACCTATTTGGTTATTTTGATTTTATTGATTTTGGATTTTAGCTGGCTGCAATCAAATTGTGATTTAGAGACTGAAAAAGGAGGTACCATGCATAAACAAATTGCACTGCTCAGAGCCAACCAGATTGCAAGGATCACTAGTGATTTTAAAATGGATTTAATAAACTTGTATATTTACTGATATTACTTAAGGCTTCCTTTAAAATTGATTGATTAAATTTCTTTTTTGTTCCAGGGATTCTTTTATTGATCAGAAAAATCGTCCCAAGAATAGAGTGGTGAAGGCTTCAGTTTTGGATTTTCTGTGGTCATATGAAGATGAAAATTCACAGGTAAAGAAGAGTTATTGCATTTTAATTGATATTTGATAGAACAAAAATAAAATAATCACTTCAAATGGCCCATCAGAACTGAGAGAATATTACAAGAAGCCACTGAGGACTTTAAATCCTTTTAAACTGCTTCTAGTTTTAGGCTCAAGGGGAGATGTTATGGAGAGATGTGCCATGGGTTGGCTTCAAGGTCAAGAGATTGGCTTTGAGATGTGGCTGGGTTATTGTAGTGTTCTCAAGCAAGATACTCAACTTTCTTCGTACCTCAGTCCCTGCTCAAAAGTTTTGACCCCTTAACTCTCATGAGTGACCAAGACAGAATTTCTTGTTACAATACCAATACAATATCAACCAGATAAGTGATGAGAATAAAGAAAAATATTAATTTTGGGATCATAATCAGTTAATCCAATACTAAATTCTCTGAACTAACATTATTGATAATTGTATGGTTGATAGTAAGGAGAATTATAAATTTGATCTGGGAGTCAAAAGGTCAACTCTTTTAGTACCTCTTCCTGCTCAGCAGTTTTAAATGAGTACAAGCTCTAATGATTTAAAGACAGTCTTAATTAATACAAGGTATTTTACCTTTTCCCTCAGCCAACTCCTGAAATGTACCAAAAAGCCTACAACTTGTACAATGTTAAACTGAAGAAATCATGTTTCAGGTAAGGAATGAGCTGGAAATTGTTCGACTAAAGTTTGTTCCTCTATTTAGGTCTGTTGTTGGTAGAAATCATGGTTGTACAGTTAAGATCTTATTTTGTTTTCATTTATTTTCGTAAAGGAAGCTTTGATTAAATCCCAAATACGTTTTATCGTTTCCTTTGTCATAGTGCCTGGATGCGTTATCACAAGTACATGAGGAGAAAGAAAGCTTTATTGGCCAAGAAACTAGAGAATGCTCAGATTTGGCATCAGCGTAGAGTACAAAGAATTCATCTTGAATATTGGATTGTATCTTTTTAAAATTCAGTCAGGAGGATATGTACATTGTGTTATACTTAATTACACTTTCAAGAGTATTTTGCTTTATAGTTTTTTGGGAAACCATCTGGCAGATTTACTGTAAAAACCCGCAGATAAGCCGCACCTTTTTTCATCCGCTTTAATGCCTGGTTACTAAGCTTCGAATGTTCCGCTTGCGTTCTTGTCGCAGTGCTAAAATCTATGGAAAAACTGTGTTGAATGAAGAAATTCCCGTCAGCCAATACCAGAAAAAGATGAATCATATGTCAAAGTTGGTAGAAACGATGTTCATTATGTTAAAGTGCCAAAATTGTGGGTAAGACTTTGAAGTATTTTCCGTTACAATGTTAATAGTGAGTGTACGTTCTATCGATGTAAAGTGGATGAAGAAGACTTCTCAAGACTCGACTTTGGATTTCTTTTGATTTCTTTTAAAAACCTTTTTTTCCAAATTTTAGCTGCTAAATTCAGGGTGCAGCTTATCTGCGGGTTTTTACGGTAATTTCTATTTGCACGATGTCTCATAAAATTTGGCATTTAGTATTTGCAGGATGTCTCACGAAATTTGGCAGTTAGTATTTCCTACATTACAATAAGAATCCTGTCAAAAATAAAAAATCTACAGAGCCTTGGCTTTTTGAGTATAACTTTTTTCACATTTTATGTTTGTACAGCAATAAATAAAATTTGTGCTACATTAAATTTCTCCTTCACTTGATTGACACTACCACAGGCATGGGTTTCTGAGAGAAAGGAGAGGCAAAATGGTTAGTAAATTTTTCTTTTCCTTCCAGTTCCTCAGTATTGAAACAAAATTCTAGTTTTCAGTCTTTAATCATCCACATCAATGGGTGTCTTTGTAAAATAAATAATGTTGAATATCAAACTTTAGAGTCAAGAAAATGTGTTTCACAAATAGTTATAGTTAACAGATGATTAACAGATGTTCTTACTACATTTTGATGTCCTCTGTGATCTGTTACTGAACAGACCAACAGCAATGTGGAGTCTATTTCAATTTGTTGTATATGATAAAAAAAAAGTAAAATTTTGTTGACCCTTTAGCTCCCAAGATCTCATTAGAAATTCTCCTTACTGTCTGCCATACAATTAATTCTTGTGATGTTAGTTTGGAGAACTTGGTATTGGATCAACTAATAATCCCCTAATTGATATTTTTCTTTTTTCTCATTACTTGTGTACCTGATATTGTATTGATATTGTAAGGAGAAATTCTGTCTTGGTCACTCATGGGAGCTAAAGGGTTAATTGTGATGTCATTCATGCATCTGTCCTCCAATAGATCCTCAGTAAAAACTGATCAAAATAAATGACTGTATACCTCGGCTTATCATTAAAACTGTCTTCTTGATGGCCATATCTTTGTTTGAGGATTGCAGTATCTGTATTGATCAAAACCCTGCATTCTTAAATTTTGTGCAAGTAATTGTCAAACATCTTGTGAGAAAAAAATGAAGCTTAATCCTTTTACTCCTTGGAGTGACCGAGACAGTTTCTCCTTAAAAAATCAGTACAATGTCAAGAAGACAGTCAAGTGATAAGAATAAAGAGAAATATCAGTTGGGCAATTGTTAGTTGATCCAGTGCCAAATTCTCTGGACTAACATCATAAGAACTGTTTGGCAGACAGAAAGGAGAATTACTAATGAGATATGGAAGTTAAAGGTGTGAATTTACTTTAATTTCAGTGATCTCCACAAGGATCCGCAGAGTCCTTGCAATCTCATTGTTGCGTGTGGTGTTTGATGCATGGCATAGTGTTGCTGTGGACGCCAGGAAGACAAAGGAGTATTTTGAGGTGGGTAAGACAAATATAACAGGCTGGGGGGAAAAATTTTGTGCCCATGTATTTTGTGACCTACAGCTGTATGTGAAATTAGAGGTTTCTTCAGATATTGTAATCCTCAGGCTTCTGTGAAAGATTTTGCTCCTCCACTGAGGAGGAGTTTGAATGGGTACTAGCTGGGTGTGGGGAAAGCTTGACAACCAGCACAAGGGTGGGGGTGGGGGTTGTTAATCCCTGAG